TGTTTTAATTTATTTATTTTTTTTAAATAAATGCTAAAAAGATATCACCTTTGATTTACCTACACATCTCTAGTTTTCGTCTTTGTTGGCACATTTAAAAATAAAAAAAACATAATAATAACAGAAGGGAAACGAACGTACATTACGTTATTTACACTGCGACACTCTACGGACGAAAAAAAGACGATAAAAAATTGTTCGTATGATGTAACATTTTTTTAGTATGCAGTACTTTTTGAACCAGCCTGTACATTATGTGGAGCTGTAAATCTAACGTTTTGTGTTATAACAATATGTAACCGACAGTACACATAATATTAATTACCAATACAAGACGCATTAAATTTTAAGACGCTGCATATTAGTAAAAAAACAAATCATATTAAAAAGAAATAATGATCATATTAGTTTCAACATGATATATATTAAAAATATAACACACCATATCAAGTTAATACCTTACATAGTAAGGAACTGTCGGTGCCGTATTGCAGTAAAGACCGCGCATATTTAAGAAAAGCAACAACGTATTACCTTTTACTAATATTCCTACTAACTTAAAGAAATAACGTCTTACTGATAGTTAAAATCATCTTAAAGTTAACATGTACTGCAGTTAACAATCGTACTAACAAAATGAAGACATCTTTCGCTGTGATACAATAAACCCGATTTAAAAGCTGCAACATATCAAGACGTTAACGTTTACATATTACTTTAGTTTAAATCAACTTACGTCATTATAGTAGTGACGTCAAGACTTTTGTACTAATAAGTAATACGCGCGCAAGTACCTTAACGCGTTAATATGCCTCGTAGTTGTTTGACTTAGTCATGTTTTGTAACAGATTTGGGACACACCATTCCAAATTTGGTCGATTTTTTACTATCTTTGCAATTTAGCACCCAACTCCACTCAAGAAAACCCATCTAATTCAGTGGCATTATCTTGCGCGGATGAAAAAACTACAGACACTTTATTGGGGACCGCAAGGGTGTTAATAAAAAGTTATAGGGGGGAATGGATTCCTTGTCGACTTGTGCTGGACACCGGATCGCAAAGCAATTTTATTACAACGCTTTTAACAAATAAATTAGGATTAAAACGCAAACGATGTATCCATGAAATATCAGGTATTGGAAGTTCTACATCTTGCAAGCCACTAGGGAAGGTATATTGTGAGATTAAATCCATACATAATCCTGAATCAGTTTTTAATTTTGAGGCTAACGTATTGTCACGTATTACATCAAATTTGCCAGGTTTAAATTTATCGAAAGAAATTGGAAAGGGTTTTGAATGTGTTCATTTAGCAGACCCAGAGTTTAATATTTCATCCCCCGTGGATATATTGTTAGGCATACAGTCAGTTTTAGATTTAACGCCTGCACAGCCTTCCATTATTAAGGGCACACCCAGCGCTTATTCGACTTTACTGGGGTGGGTAATAGCGGGAAACGTACATCAAAACTCTACATTACAAAATTGGCAGCGCATGTTACGATAGATAACGAACCGTCACTTGACGAAATTCTGAGAATGTTTTGGGAGTGTGAAGAAGTACCTTTATCAAGGTTAGTCTCACCAGATGATCAATTTTGTGAAACACAGTATCAAATGTCCACAAAACGAAACGAGAAGGGTCAATATATTGTGCGTTTTCCATTTAAAAAGAACGGACCTCAATTAGCGAGTAACAGGGAAAGTGCTTTGAATAGATTTCATAAACTTGAAACACGTTTCAAGAGAGATGCAGAGTATTTTCGACTTTACTCTGAAAATATTAACGGTTATATTACACAGGGTCACTTAGTTCCCACAACAAAGGCATCATCTTATATTATGACTCATCATGGGATTTTGAAACGAACTGGGGAGAATAGTAAGGTCAGGGTGGTATTTAATCCTACGGAACGAGACGCTCAAGGATATTCTTTAAATGATTACTTATTAGCGGGTCCCAAATTACAACAGGACATATCAGTAATTATAACGAGATTTAGGCTTAGACCGATAGCTTTGGCTTGCGATATTTGTCAGATGTTTAGATGCATTTTGGTACACCCCGAAGACCGTAAATATTTCCATATGTTTTGGCGATCTAGTCCCAATGAACCTATAAGGGAGTGGGAGCATACCAGAGTTATTTTCGGAGCAACCTCATCACCATTTTTAGCAAATCGTACCATTAAACAACTTACCTACGATGAAGGTAAAAATTATCCTAAAGCAACGTTAGCTTTGACGCAGCAAACATTTGTTGATGACATTTTAACAGGAGCTTTTAACAAATCCGAAGCCTTCGAAATTAAGCGGCAGCTTATAGGTTTATTAAAGGCAGGAGGCTTTGAATTGGGAAAATGGGCATCTTCTGACGTAGATGTCACTCAACCGCTACAAGACTCTGTAGAACTCCCTATGGGAATCATACAATCTGCTGTTAAGGTGTTAGGAATTTACTGGGATACAACGAGCGATGTATTTCAATATAAGGTACATGAGGTTAACGAGCCTGCAACGAAACGAGGCATATTGTCAAGGGTTGCACGAACTTATGATATTAATGGTTATCTAAGTCCCTTTACGTTTTTACTTAAATGTTTGGTTCAGGCGTTATGGTTGCAAAAAATAGGGTGGGATGAGCCTTTACCAACCGATATTTTAGAAAAGTGGTTGCTAGTTAAAGCACAATTACCTTTGATAGACAGTATAACCATACCTAGATGTATATACAAAACGGAAGTATCTTGTGCTAGGTTAGTGGGTTTTTCAGATGCGAGTAGTATGGGGATGGCAGCGGTAATATATTTACGTGTGGAAATTAATAATAATTGCTTTATAAATTTGGTGTGTGCTAAGACTAAGGTAGCTCCATTGAAAACCTGGACAATTCCGAGATTAGAACTTGGAGCTGCGTGTCTCTTGTCTAAATTATTAGTTCCCACCATAGAGGCGTGTAGGTCATTTATAAACATGACGGAACCCACTTGCTTTGTAGATTCCACTACGGTGTTAGGGTGGATAAAAACACCTCCGTATAAATTAAAAACGTTTATTTCTAATAGGGTAGTTCAAATTCACGAAAATATTCCCACAGCCCATTGGAAATATGTACCAGGGAAGGTAAATCCTGCTGACCCGGCTAGCAGGGGGCTTACTCCGAGTGAATTGGTGTCATGCGATCTGTGGTGGAAAGGCCCAAGTTATCTTTTGGAAAACGAAAACCGATGGAATTTTGAATACGAACTTCCCTCAAATTTAGACGAAACAAAAGACCTGCCAGAAATAGAGATAGCATTACTAGCAACGAAAATTGATTATAGCTGTTTCATTAATGTTTTAGAAAGGCATTCGTCTCTTTTAAAAATACAACGTATTTTTGGTTATGTAATTAGATTTGTTAAAAATTGGATAGGTAAACAGCGCACCACAATTGATTCTTGTTGTTTAACTGGTCCTCTTAAATCTGTAGAATACCAAAACGGTTTACTATTAGCATTACGCATAACACAATCTAAGTATTTATTTAACGAGATCAGTTTGATTAAACGGGGGTTAGTGTGTTCGAAGAATATAAGATTCCTTTCACCATTTCTCTCGGAGAACGGGTACTTGATGGTGGGGGGGCGTTTGAGACATTCGCAATTACCTTCACGACAAAAACATCCTTACTTGATTCCCAAGGAAAGCAGATTGGCGATATTGATATGTGATCATTTTCATATCTACTCGGGTCACGGTGGACCACGTTTAGTACATTCGCTAATTGCACGGTATTACTGGATACCAAGTTTAAGGACATTAATTCGGAAAAGAATTTTTCGATGTTTGGTATGCTATAGATTTGCTTCAAAACCCATCCAACCTCCGATGGGAGATCTTCCTGCATATCGTTTGGAACCGGGCAGGTGTTTCTCTCATACAGGTCTCGACTACGCAGGACCATTTGAAGTAAAAATTTCAAAACTAAGAAATGATAGATATCAAAAATGTTACGTTGCACTATTCATTTGCATGGTTTCAAGAGCTATTCACTTAGAATTGGTCACCCCTTTAACTACCGAAGCCTGCTTATCTGCATTAGACAGGTTTATTTCAAGACGAGGATTACCTTGTAATTTGTATAGCGATCAAGGATCTAATTTTAGAGGCGCGGCGAGAGAAATCTCAGAATTGACAAAGTTTTTTGATGATTCCAATCCAGAAATATCACATTATCTATCATCTCGAAACATTGCGTGGAATCATAACCCACCTTATGCACCACATATGGGTGGTCTTTGGGAAGCGGGGGTTAAATCCTTTAAGTATCACCTTAAGCGCATTGTGGGTAATGCGAGATTGCATTTGGAACCATTTATGACTACCATAGCTCGTATAGAAGCAATATTAAATTCAAGGCCATTTTGTAATCAATCTTCTTCGCCAGACGAAGATTTAGATCCCTTAACTCCTGGTCATTTTTTGGTAGGTGGACCGTTGCTAACTCGAGTAGAGGTAGATATAACGAATGTTCCACAAAACCGTTTAAGCCAGTGGCAATTATGTCAGCAATTAGTACAATCGTTCTGGAAACGTTGGTCCAATGAATATATTCAATCATTGCAAAAAAGACCAAAATGGACTCAACCTTCTCCAGAAATCAAATTAGGAGATCTGGTGTTATGGTATCACCCTGATGCCCCACCTGCTCATTGGCCAATTGGCAAGGTTGTCAGATTAACTAAGGGACAAGACGGTATTACTAGAGTTGTAAATATACGAACTGCCACGGGTGAAATTCAGCGACCTGTGAATAAGGTGGCACTTTTACCACCGCCTTAAAAAAAAATTCATTAATGAAATGCATTGAACAATTTTTTTCTATTTAAGAATTATTTTTTTTTGTTATTATTTTTGGAACCTAAACCAAATCAATCGTTTTACATTTGTTTATAATTTTTTTGGTGAAATTTTGAAATTAATTTAAATCTTAATTTGAGCAAATAATTAAATTTGGGTGGGGGGTATAGGTATGTTGGAAATAGGTAAATTAAAGTTCGTTCAATTCCGTTTTTCCCTCCTTCTCAAAAAGCGTCACGGGAAGATACCGAAACAAGTGAGTGAGTGCGGTACCGCCGAGAATGAAACAACTAAAATTACCGGTAAGTGACGCTGTCCCACTGTACCATTAATAACGAACGAACGGGAAAATTTGGATACAAACAAGAGGCATTCCTAAAGTTATTATGGAGGCGTTACAAGCACAATTGGAACAGCTGTTAAAACAAAACGAAGCGCTAACGTTGAAGCTGCAAGTACAGCAGCAGCAGCAATATCAGCAGGAAGCAGAGCACCAGGTCAATGAATGCAAACGTTTGCAACCAGCCGAGGTGCACCGAGTGTCGGTGAAATTACCACCGTTTTGGAAATACAAGCCGTACCTTTGGTTTGCCCAGGTAGAGGCGCAGTTCGAAATCGCGCACATTACGCAGGAGACCACCAAGTATTCATACGCATTTATAAATAGCGGAACCAATGAAAATGAAGTTCTTATAATGTGTCACTGCGTAGTACGTAATCACTCATAAATAACATTTTCCTGCTAACCTACAATTGTGCAGTGTTTATGTTGGCGGTAGTTCTTTTCTTTTCGTGCAAGAGCATAGTAGTGAAGGATGAATGAGTTGAAAGAAGTTTCGCTTTACGATCCTGTGGGAAGTAAAAACTACACTGTCTTTTAAATGAAAGTGATGCTTGTCGTGTTGATACAGGTAAAAGACTGGAGAAATATATCCGATTATTCTTCCTCTGTTTCATTTTGTAGATATTGAGTTTGCACAGGCACTGTTATTCCATGCGATATGTACAAGCTCTACGTCGAATGAAAGTGCACAAGTCCAGGTGTTGCCGAGATCTTCCACTTCCTCATCTGTGGCATCTGAAAATGTTTGTGAAGAAGTAGAAGTACCTGCCACAAGAGAAAAACGAAAACGATTTCGATTTTCAGAAAATGACAATATTAAATGTATCAAGGAGTTATTCAACGTGTTGGCAGAAGATAGTGTGCATAGCGAGGATGAATTGTGGGCGAAAGTGCATGAGATGCTAATGTATGATAATCCAGAGTAAGTTGTTTCGTTTTTATGGTCATATTTAACTAATCTGTTGTTTTAGTCGGTTTAAGACATGTAGTTTGCGATTACTAAAAGATCATATGCTTGAACAAATTTGTAAATATCGTAAATACGATTCTGAAGAGGCATCAGAGTCTGGAAAGGAGAGATTGCAAACACCTTGGGGGGCTAATATGAGGGAATTAATGGAAGTGTGGGACACATATACGAAACTTGTGAATGCTGATAAGGTGTTACATACGGCAAATGCACCTGGACGTCCAAAGAAAGGTAGCGAAACACAGAAAAAGAATGAAGTAGAAGTAGCTAGAAGAATCAGAGATGCAGCTTTAGGTACAATCACACAGAGTTGTACAAATGAGTTACAAACAGTTCAAGAGCAGAGGTCTACATCAGATGGTAAGTTGTACATTAGTTTTTTCAATAAAGAAAAATGTATTTTAGATGGTTGTCAAACACCTACTGCACGACAGCACACCAAAGTTGCAACAAAAAGAAGAACTAATAAAGATGAGATGTATTTGCATACCTATCAGAGAAAGCCAGATTAGAAGCTGAATTCAAAAGGGACGAATTAAAGTTACGAAAGCAACAGCATGATGACAACATTAAGCTACAAGGGGAAACATTAAAATTTAAACAAGCCCAACTGGATTTTGAGAAGGAAAAATGGAAACTAGAGGCCGAAGAAAGACGTTCAGAAATGGAAAGAAGTACTAATTTATTGCGTATGCTTTACGATATTATAAAAAAATAGTAGTCTGTAAACTATATACATATGTCTGTTTAGTTATGTAAGGATTTTGAATTATGGTATACAATATACATTGCTATTGAAAATATTCTCTTAAAGTAGGAGATTCCACATTGAAATAAGTAGATGTTGCACTTCCATATAAGCAGGTGTGAGCATTAGTTAAAAGAGTTGCAACGATGTAATATTTTCCAACAGGTTGAAGGTATAATATAAGATTTTTCTTAAAGTCCACAAAAGCAAATTGCTGAACAATTTTTCCAAAACTCGATTCAACACACTGTCGTACAGAAGACATGTTATGATTAAAGTTTTGTTGGGATGCCGATAATGAACTGTTTGAATACGGTCGTATCAGTTGTTTTTTGAGTGGATAACCTTCATCCCCATAAATACTGAAATCAGAACAATGTAAATTAAGTTGCTCCAATATTAAAGTGTCTTTTAATATAAAAGCATCCGGTCTAGGACATTTTGGCGCGGCCACTTCGGCGCCGCCACTTTGGCGCGGCCGCTTTGGCGCGGCCGCTTTGGCGCCGGGACAGTTTGGCGCCGGGACATTTTGGCGCCGGGACACTTTGGCGCCGGGACATTTTGGCACCGGGACACTTTGGCGCCGGGACATTTTGGCACCGAGGCAGTTTGGCGCCAGAAATTTATACACATATAAAAACCTAATCGTTATTGATGATATACAATTAGATGAAATTTACCTGACACACAAATAGTTTACTTACTTCTGTTATGACCGTTTGCACCGACAAAGCTTAGCTTAAGCGTCGTTAAAAACCCACGGCGACCATTGTCGCAACGGGTTGCCATGGATTTTAATCTATGCTTATGCTAAGCTCCGCTTAAATTTGCCGGTGCAAACGGCCAAGGGACATAAGTTCTTTAAGATATACACCACCGTAGGTAATAAATGTGTCAAAATAAGCAGAAGGTGCACATTTCTGGTATTGTTAAATATTCTATTGTTTACTTGCCGACAAATAAAAATATTTACACCATTAGGACCGACTGTGGTAATTAGGAAAAACCAGAGACTTGCTATAACTAGACTGCGCTTAACGTATCTAAGGTGTTGTCGACACAGTATGCCACACACAATGCACTGCGGGGCAAAATCGCTGAGATGATTTATGCAATATAATGAAATAAGCTGTTATTTTAGATGTTCCGTTCATTAATCATTCTCGTGATTAGCTCGAATTAGTGAACAGATAAATTTCTGTTGAGAATAAACCAATAAACTTAGGTTAACTTGTGCGTATCAACATTTACTCTGTCGATAAATTTTTAAATAATATGCTGATTTTCCACGAATAAAAGTTTAAAGGGAGGATTGTTGTACGGATCAAACGATGCATTAAAAATTTGCCAAATTGCTGAAAATGTGTTCAGGTTATTCATTCAATCCACACCACACCGCGTTGTAAACAAAATGGTTATCAGCAGTCTTAGAAAAATAAATAACAGTTACAGCCCATTTGGGTTTTTGGATAGGCATTATATTGAATCAAAATCCGCTAAATAATCATATCTTACTACTTACATCTTTAGTTTTAAGAGTATATTTTCCCATACGTGTTCACCACCAAAATACACATATAAATCAAATTAGGACTAGAGTAAGGCAGTTATATACCAATTTAGTTCAAATAAAATACCAACAAATTCGATTAAAATAGTTAACAGCTATATGTTATCTTTTTTTGCTACTAAAATTTAGAATAAACATGGCTAAAGCAAGCTGCAGGACGTACGTCTGCCCCGCGATGAACAGTTGGTTGCCTATCGTATCTTGACAACAGGCGTTTATAGTAAAATCTACGTTACGCGCGGTCTAGTTATAACAAGTCTCTGGGAAAAACCTGTATTACCTATACTGACTCATTCTTAAACCTACCCTGATTATCTGCCTTAGTTTCCCGTTCGACTCTGTTTGCAACTTTTGTGTGTTCCTTGTAGCAGTTGTAGAATACTGTCGATTGATCTCCTCAGGTTCTTTTTAAACTCTTTTTTGTTTTGTGATAATTAGACATGAATCGCGAGCGCGAAATTATATCAGTACGCGGGAGAAACAAATTTGTGTCTGACGGTTTTTCATACACATTTGATAAGCTAAGTAAAGACGGCCTAACATCATTTTGGAGGTGCACCAATAAAGATGAATGTAAGGCGAGATTACATACAAGGAACAACGAGGTGGTTAAATTGCTCAATGTACATAATCACGATGCTTCTGCGTCAAGCATTGAAGCAGCTGAAATTGTTACCCGTATCAAGGCACGTGCTGTGAACACCCAAGAATGTACTTCACAAGTTATCAACGAGTGCATCACCGGAATATCTCAAGCAGCAATGGTAGGTTTTGTTTTTAAATGTTAGTGTAAGACGCCCATTACACTAATCAAAGAAAAAATATAAAACCCTACCGAAACTATTTGTTAGTCAAATTTAAACGCATTAGGTACAGTATATAAGGACATACATTTTTTTAAATTGTAAATGTGCCTGCTGTGAGTAAATATGGATTTTTATCTTGAAAAATTTGAAAGAAGTTTTTTCTTTGATTAGTAAAAAATGGAATCACTTCATATATTTCTGTAAAGTTAAGTTTACGTATATATACAGAAAAGTGACAGAAGGTCTTTCGAAGTCCTTTATTTTGACATTTGATTTTTTAAAATCGGTCGTTCGTTTTGGAGAAAATTAGAAAAATTTTTACTTAAATAAATCGACCGATTTTAAAAAATCAAACGTCAAAAGAAAGGACTTCGAAAGACCTTTCAAACAAGCTCTCACTCGATACCACTTGTCATTTAAAATTTGTAAGGGAATGACCCTGAGGGACAAAGGCTGAAAGGGGGTGAAGTAGTTTTTTGTTAAAAAGTTGTCCCCCTAGACAAATCTTTTGACGTGTCTCGGAGTTTTTTCTTTTAATCAGTGGTTTTCGATAAATCCGTGGTGGGAAGTTTTAAAATGAACACCCGTATGCAATTACAATCATGCACTTTCAAATGCATAAAAATCCTAAGCCATGATATTAATTATTAGCTGTTTTGTAATACAACACTCGTGCATTCTAGGCTTCTCTTCCACAACTGGGAGCTCTCAAGAAAACTGTAAGACGCAAGAGAAATGAAGTTAATGCAGCCCCTCCAGCACCACTGAATTTGCAAACGCTACAAATTCCAGATGAATTCAAAATGTATGCATTTGACAATGGAATAGAAGAAAATTTTTTGTTATATGACAGTGGACCGGAAGAAATGAGGATATTGATTTTTGGTCGTCGACAGAATTTACACATTTTACGTAGCAGTGATACCTTCTATGGCGACGGCACCTTCAAAACAGCTCCACATTTGTTTTCGCAAATTTATACTATACTTGGACGACTTCATGGTGGAGTGCATCCAATCATATATGCCCTTTTGCCAAATAAACAGGGCGCTACGTACGTGAGATTGTTTCGAGCATTAATAGAATTAGAGCCCAACTTTCAACCTCGATCGTATTCCTGCGATTTTGAAGCAGCCGCCATTACTGCATTTCAAGGATGCTTTCCCGATGCAAATATATTCGGTTGCTATTACCACCTAACTCACAACGTAAAGAAAAAAATTTGTGAATTAGGATTGATTCAAAACTACAATAATGATGCTAATTTCTCCTTGCGCGCAAAAATGGTACCCGCGTTGGCCTTTGTTCCAATAAACGACCTGGAAAACGCCCTTGATGCTATTTCGGAAGCTCTTCCCGATGATTTGCAACCCTTGGTAGATTGGTTTGAGGACAATTACATCGGTCGCAGAAATCGTAGAGGGCTTGGCAGGCGTCCAGCCCTGTTCGGACCAGAGACATGGAATCTGCATCAAAGAGTGTTAGACGGCGAAGATCGTACGAACAATTACGCCGAAGCAGCGCACCGTAGGCTTACAATAGAATTGGGAATGGAGCATCCAACCATTTGGAAATTCATTGTTGCCTTAAGAAAAATTCAGATTGCAAGGGACGTTCGCTATGAACAACTCCTTGCTGGTCATCAACCATCACCAAAAAAACGCAAATATAGGGAAATTGATAACCGTATTTCCAGACTTATTTTAAACTACAATAATGATAATATACTTGAATTTCTGCGTGGGATTGCGCACAATTATGAATTACATTAAGTTTTTTGTAACATATATTTATGTAGGTACATATGTTTATTCGTGATAATTAAATAGGTACCTTTTGCGTGCAAAATGACTAGCCACTTTCCTTTAGTAGCTTATTCCTTGTTATAAGTTGCTTTTATTTGCTGTGCATAGCAGTGATATCTGGAGGTCGTTTATAGTTACTATGTCTTAAATGGATTAAATGTGCCTATTCTGGGGCAGATATGAATCATGCTATTGTTTTGTTTGGACAGGCGATATACCTACTAAACATCAACAAATAACTGAAGAGCACTTTCTACTTCAAAGGCGATTACTTGCATTATTATGAAAGTAAAAGAAAGTCCAAAAGGAAAAAGTTTTGCACACTTTCAACCAGTAGCGTAGGAATAATCTTCATATCCACCTCATTGTGCACATTGTGCAATGCCGAGTGCTAAACATTCATGCTGCCTAAATGTCTCCCTCACAACCCACATGTTTCTGCGCCAAAGTGTCCCCGCGCCGAAGTGTCCCGGCGCCGAGGTGTCCCGGCGCCGAGGTGTCCCAGCGCCGAAGTGTCCCGGCGCCAAAGGAGCCGCGCCCAAGTGGCCGCGCCAAAGAGGCCGCGCCAAACTGTCCGGGTCCGAAAAGCATCATGTCGTCTTCCTGGGTATGGCATACTCATGTGTATAATAATACCATTTGGCAATGTAATGTTTTGAAACTTCATACAATGAACCCGTTTATGCCCACTATATACTTCTTTTTGATTAATCTGGGGTCGACAGATTGGTCTAGCTGTGCCATCAATAAATCCGATGCAGTTTTTTAATGGCGCTCCTTTTGAATGCACAACAACTGCCAATTCTTTTTGGAAATCATGTGAAAATCACTTATTTTCAATAAAGTTCAATAATAATTGCCCCCATTTCTTAAATATGAAATATATTATTACATTGAGTAATTTGCTTATAGACGTATGATGTCTATAAAATTTGTCCTGAAGCTCCTTTAATCTGTTGGGATATGCAAATCGTAGGAGAAGCATACACAAGCCTTCAGTCCCTAAAGAATGCAGTTTAATATATTAAACCAATAATTGTAACACATGTACAAAATTACCATCTACAACGTGCTGATCACAAGTTTCAAACCGGTCAGGCAGTTGCAGAGCTTTATAAAGATGGTGAATATCATTTTTCTCAAAGCGAAATATGAACCTAAAATTATGTAAAGGAATAGAGTCTATATTAAACTTGTTTGTTGAATAAAACTGTTTTCGTTCTGTAATTGTTCTTCTCAAAGCTTTATAAATAAGGATACTTTCAATGTCATCAACTTCTAAAAAAAGGAGTTCATTTTCACCAACTTTGGACATTTTAACACAATGTAAAATAAAAGTGAGGTTAAGACTCCTTCAAACTTATAAGCAAAATTGAACACGCCCAGCACACACCGCAACTTATTTATTATTTATTATTATTAACTTTGCTATAAAAATGTTTTATACTTATAAACTTATATTATAAGGAAAAATGGCCGTCTAACATAACGGAAAATGCTGTCCGCAACCTCGCTATTATCCAAGTTGCTAACGTAACTACCAATAGTATAATTTTTACTAAAGGTGATATTATTCTAATTGAATTTAAGAAAATGCCTTGTTTTGGAAAAATTAGTAACATTATTATTAATAAGGATCAGAAGATATGTTTTATATGTGAAATGTTGGAGCCCATTTGTTTTAATCGTCATTTGTATGCCTTTGAAGTTAAATCTACTGATAAGGTGGTAGTTATATTTGATAGCGAATTAAATTGTTACGATACTCACATAATGATAAATAAAAAAGATAAAAAATTTATTTCTATGTATTAACATGTTAAGTCATTGCAGAAGTAGGTATTATTTTTTCTTAACTTTTCATAATGTATTGATAAATGTAGGTGTATATAAACATGGTTATATTGTTTCTTACTCTAAGGATTTATTTTTCGTTATTTTTTGTAACTGAATTATATATTTGATTTTGCGTTAAATGCCAAAATAAATCGATATGTTATGGTAGGAACAGTATTTTAGTTCAATATACCTACCTAATTATTTTCCTGTTTCGATTTTTCACAATGTAAAAAACCGTTTTTAAAATGAATAATAATGTGCATCTATTTGCCACAAATAAGAAATATAACTATAAAATAGGTGCACTTACTATAGTATAGTCACAGTATAGTAACTTTATTCTGAAATGCCTAAATATAGTTATTTTTGTAACATTTTTCGAAACGACAAAATGAGTCCAAAAAATCATTTTAGGTACGTGTAACAATTTTTTTTGGTAAAGCTCCAAAGAAGCATTTTAACACACCTCTTAATATGGACTAATGTGAACAAAACAAATATTTCTCGAAAATACCTAGTGAGCCGCCATGTAAAGATAACAGCTTTTTGAAGTTGACAATCGAGTCTGGAAAAGATTCATTTTACGGACACTTTTGAGTTCGTAAAATAACTGTATTAAGGAGTGTGTACAAAAAAATTAATTATCGTAATCTGTCTATTTGGCATAAAGAAGAAACTTATTTATTATAAGTAGGTGTACTTATTAGTCACAGCAAAACGATATTGTTGGGAGAGTGAAATAATTGTTTGCAGGTAGTATGTGGATCTATTTGGCATAAATAAGAAACTTATTTACTACAAATATATGTATTTATTAGCCACAGCAAAACGACATTATTGCGAGAGTGAAATAATTGTTTGCAGTTAATATGTGGATCTATGTGGCATAAATAAGGAACTTATTTACTGTAAATAGGTGCCTTTATTAGTGGTAGCAAAGTTATATAGTTACCACGGCAAGGCAATCTATTAGCCACTGCAAAGCGACCTTATTACGATTAATATATATCTATTTTCTGTAGGTAGGAGACTATTTACTACAGCACCAAAGACATGCAGCGGCAAATAAGTGCACATACTAGTGGCAACAAGTGTTAAAACCAAATAGATGAATCTTAGCAAAACGACTCTATTAGCGGTTAATGGGCAACTTATTTAAGGCCTATTTAATGCAGAAATTTTGTTGCGGCAAATAGATTTTTTTATGGCTAATAGATTTTTTTCTCAGTGTACGCTGTAATATAATCTATTTTATTTTTTCTTTGCACTAAGTAGTTGCCGACCACAAGCCGCCCTATTAGTCCCATTAGTCCGTGGGTTGCGCTAAAGACGCGAGTGAATAAATTTCAACGTAATAATTGATATAGTTGTAGTTTGCTTAGAAATTCCAAAAATTACCGTTCGTAATTCTGAAATTACGAACATTACGCAATGCATATCAAAAATTACAGAAAAATTACTATTACAATTCGAAAAAATCAAAAATTACTTAATACGAGCCGAAAATTACAAAAATTACTTGAAAATATATGAGTAATTTAATGTAATTACAGTAGGTGTACGTTTTATTTACTTGTGGCACACCCCTCGGATATAATTATTTGTAATTTACTTCAGATCAACATATAGACATAATAGCTCTCAGGTTGTTGTCTGAAACAGACATGCAAGTCTCAATACCGCATATAGACGCCAGAGCTAAATTTCGAGAAAACCTCAATGGATGGAAGGAGTCATTTCGAAAGGCCCAACAACATGTAGACGAAAGCTTTGAAAATAATTATGATTTAATTGCGCTGTCGAATTCGATTTTACAGTCATCATTGGAAGGAGAAACACGTCAGCTAGATGGCAACTTAACAGAAATAGGTTGTATACCCACTGCCGCCGCAGCAACTAAAGTTGTTAACGAAACTCGGTCAACGCCATCGGCGTAGCTTTATTAGTACCTCGCAGTACCTTGCTGCCGTGCTTGTTGTACCTACTCCTTTTCAGATAGTCGATCAATAGAACGCATTTCCTTCCAGAATACCAAAGCAATCACCTTCCCCGCTGGCGGCGTGTACTTGAACTTGAACTATTTGAAACTGGAATGCCGCCATGTTTGGATTGTTCCTTAGTCTCTGGCGTGAAGTAGTGGGCCCAAATCTTGTTTCCCGTTACAAACGAATTTAAAAATTCCTCACTCTCTTGGGCGCAGAAACTTGCAACCACTTTCGATGCGCTTTTTTGTGTTCATCAGAGAGCATCCGCGTCGCCAATCAGAATATTGCCTACCGTAGTCGCTTATCTGTTCGTCAATCCGCAAGCAGAAGGGAATGAACCATAGAAATAAAATGGGATTTTGTCGTCAAGTGCGCCAGAACCCTTGCTGGTGCTCTACTCTTTCTAAGGTTGTACTTGTGTTGTATTACATCGTTTATTATAACAAATTGAACAGTTAACACGATATCACAGATGAAAAATAGGTAAGTACAACCTAAAGAAGCAATTATAAGAAAAGTATTAATACTTACATCATGAAAATTAACATTGTTAGTGTGCGTGTCAGTTATTAACAAATACTGATTTTTTGCTCTCTTATTTTATCAGAATTTACCAATAGTTACACACAGTAAACACAAAACCAACTGAACTAAAGCTGCCATCATAATCACAACAGTTACAAAAAGTAGTATAGGTACGGTTTTAAAAAGGATCTTTTTTTACCAATACTTTGTTTCAATTTTTACAATAATATGTATACTTGCAGAATTGGTCTGAGTCAAACATAGCGTGACCCAGTGACTCGGTGACCTAGTTTGACCCGATGACCCAGCTTGACCCGGTGACCCAGATTGACCCATCTTGACCCAGCTTTACCCGGTGACCCAGTAATTAAATTATTGCTATGTATCCGCCTTTGTGACAAATTTGTATTCAAATGTATAGCATTAGGTGTGCATTGGTAGGTATATAATTTTTGTCATCCAAAATAAATTTCAAGTAACATCTAATTTACAAAAAAAACTTCCTCAATAATATTCAGCCAACAAGCACGTAGCCCAATTTTTTTCAAAAGAACTAATACCATTTGTTTGTAGGTGGTAGTCAAGTAGTCAATGAAAGTATTTAGAGAATAGATTTATTTAGATTAAGCTAACTATAATCTGTTCACCCAACAGATGCAGTTAAGCCACTCCCAATAAATTTTGGCCAATGTAATAACAGACCCGTTTCACAGTCACAAAATTATAAAAACCGGGAAAATCGCATGTCACATTAAGTTCAAAAAGATTAGTTTGTTCTTATAAATGAAATTAACGGCAAATTGAGGCAAGGCAAATACAAAACGCAATGTCAATTTAGATACAGCAATTGTAATTGGAAGCAAATAGTTGCGTGTGTTACAGGTTTTGAAAATTCGGCCAATTAAAAATGTTCATTTAAATTTGCCGGGAATTTTTTGGGAGGAGCTTAACTGCATCTGTTGGGTGAACAGATAATAGTAGAAGACAATGAAATGTAAATGGACACCTGTAAGCAACTGGTATGCCCTGAAGCAAAGAAATGAAGCAGGGCACTGTTTAGAAATAAGATTACTATAATACAACTCGGAACAATGGAGTTTTTTACGTCCGTATTAGCAAAGATCACAGATATGGCAGTTGTCAAGCAACCAAGTATTATTTTCAGCAACCAGCCTTCAGTTTCATTTATTTCAGAATCTGTACACTTTAATCGATGTCTCTGACTTAACTGGGTCAAACTGGGCCCTAGGTGAAATTTGGTCGCTGGGTCACCGGGTCAAACTGGGCCTAACTGAAGAAAGTATGACGTGACCCAGCGACCCAGTTTAACCCAGTCCAACTCTGTATACCTGTAGTATGTTTGGTGTTTACTGTGTTAATACTATCAACTATTAGAAAGTATTTGGTTGATGACGCGAAAAGTATACAGTCTGATATCTTCCATAAATGGCACTACTGTGAGGTTTACCCGCTTGTGGAATAAAATCTTAAGAAACTAAAATTGACAAGCACACACCTGTCACTGTACACGGGTTCTATTCATAAATAAAAAGAAGTACGTTGAAGTATGCCGTTGACTAGATCATAAATAAGTTACTCGTGGATTAATTATGAACCAAGGTATCATAGCTTTCATTTGACACAGCATCTGGTATGTAATCGTCGAATGGCATAGACTCGTAAATGTGTTCCTCCGTTCGTTTCTTTATAAAGAATCTAAATAAAATATTACAATGAAAATCTGTTTGTTATACTCTTCACCCTACCTTCTGAGAAACCACACCCCACAACCAACTAAGAGAATTATACATAACATTGGCACAACGTAAATGGCTACATTGTTACTTTCCCCTGCCACATCATCCTGAGCTTCGGCCATACTGTTTCGTTGAGTGTAAAGGTGCTTGTAGTGATAAACATCAAATCTATCAATATTTTCTTCTTGGTCGACGAATGCAAAAGTAAAGCAATATTCTGTGTCCGGTTTTAGGGGTTTATTCGTGACATTTTTTTGAAGTTGAGGGACATAACTTACGCTGCGGTCACCGACCACCATCAGAGGCGGTTCACCACTAGAAAGCTGTAACATAAAACATCAGCTTATCTGCATTACATCTTACTAGCCTTACCAGCAAATTTTTAGCAACCCAGCTTTCTCCAAATTCATTGCATAATTTGTATTTCTCGCCAAACATTTCCAGCTTGTCAATATCATCTAAGATGTGCGTTTTACTATTATTATAATCTTGAACTATTACGATTAGCATGCTAGAATTTAAACCTGCCTCCAGCTTAGGAAGCTTGAATGTTATTGTCTCATTGGTGCAGCTAACAAATTCTGGAGTGGGATCACTATACGTTTCTTCACTTTCTGTTTTAATTTGTACGGACTCAAACTCGCCCTTGTAGTCGTCATTTACCGCCCGCACGGAAATTTTATACGGAGTGTCATAGGAAACATAATTAATCTGCAATTATAATTCACGTAATTAAACTTAAGAGTAATTGACACGACATACAACACAACTGTATCTCTTTTGGTAACTCTGCTTGTCTACTTTTAGGATTTCGTGTATAGTTTTTGAAGTGTCTGCGGCGAAATTGTAACTAGTTTCTTCAAGGAAAACTTCAAACAAAGTAATTGTTCCGTTTTGGTCGTAAGGGTGCTCCCAGCTTATATTTAAATTACAAGGCGAGCCGTAGTTTTTACCCTTAATTGTATTGTAGATGAGCCCGCTGGGTTTGCCTGGAACTTAGTACAACTGTTAATACAAGTGTAACTAAACAAAATATTTAATACAGCGGGGCGAACAATCAGCGGCGGAAGTTTATTATAAAGGAAATTTGTGTTTCATCGAAAATGGCGGCATTGATTGGAGTGATCGAGCGATTCAATCGTGTAGGCCAGGATTAGATCATCTACCAGGAGAGAGTCGAACAATTCCTAGCAGCTCATGGAATACAAGATGTAGAAAAATATAAAAAACGATGTACGGTTTTAATAAGTCAGCTTATAGCAGGTACCCAGACAAACCAAGTGAGAAGAGTTATAAAGAATTCTGTGAAATCATGACGAAACATTTCAGTCCAAAGATTTCAGTTTTTCGGGAACGCGTGGAAAAAACCCGATAGAGGACACGATTTTATGAAGACTTTTTACCTTAGAATGTATAGTGGAGTTGGCGTTTTCGAAGGAAGCTAGTCTAGCAGCCAGCGGCAGGAATCCAAACGACAGAGCGGCAACCGTGGATGTCAATTAGGCTGAAAAGGGCAAATCGGGAAAACCAGATGAAGAGATACAACGAAACCAACCGAGCAACCAGGACAGACAGTGGAGTGGTTGCAGTAAGAGTCCTTTTGCAAATCCAACGTGTAAACAGAGAAAGATCAAGTGTTTTAAGTGCAATACAGTAGATCATTACGCAAATAAATGCAGAAAAAATATTAAACAGGCAAGTAGCAAACAAGAGAATTAAGGATTCTGCCTTTTTTAAAGCAATGATGACTTGTAACGGCTGCGTTAATTATCTTTTTACTTTTATAGCTCTCGCCTAGAGCGAAGAAGGGATTATTTCTTTCTTAGAGGACCACGGCGTGGTGCTCCGAGGACCTGTTGATTGCCCCACCTGCGAAAAGCCCTGTGCCTTTGTACGCGATGGAAACTGTCTTCGTTTCAGATGTCGCCGAAGATGAAAATTACGAAACGGTGTTCTTTTTCCATTTCAGCTAAGTCCGGCAGCTTCTTCGATCGAACTGCGATGGACACTTCTATCCTTTGCCGCTTCCTTCCTTACTGGCTGATCTGTGCGCGCCCCAGTCGTCGATTAAAGCAACTTTTCCAGAGAGGTATGTATCAGCTATATAATCCGCCGTTCAGTGTCTTTAGGTGGAGTAGTCAAGATTTGGCGCTCCGTTACGAAAAGTGTAGTGCCGCAAGTATTTGTGATGGTTCTAAGAGTTGAAGATACAAGGTAAAAGTGATTTATTTAATTTCTAGAGTTGTTTCGGCCGCCGTGGCGCACCGTTGTCGTAAATAAAAGCTGTAATTACTTCGCAGTTTGCAACCGTTCCCGTGACGATATTTCAATAATCTTTGTTGCGTCCGAAAGCTCTTGTCGTTTAGAAGACGAGAACGAATTAATATTTTAGAATTTCAGTTAAGTCGTTATTGGCCAGTTGGAGTTTCCTATGTTAATTGAAAATAGGCTTAAAACCAATAGAGGCCGTGAGGTGTTTATCAGCTTGATATAGCCAACCCCGCCGTTTGAGCCCAACATTTCAAGTAACAGCCGGTGTTAATTGAATTAGCGAATTTTAGGAATTTCAATCCGGCCAACTAAGTCCAATTAACAGTAGCTAAAAAATATGTTGCAGTAAACAGCATCCGATTAAGTCGTGGGGATCTCAACAGAAGCGCTCTTAATTAATTCGTATGGAAATACTTTAAGGGCGTCAGTAGGCCGCACAATTATTTTTTTTTTAATTTTGGACAGTATTAAGCAAATACGCCGACCGGTCCGGAATTTCCTACGTTCCCTGTAGGAAGTGTATATAAGGTAACACTTAATTTAGAGGGGATTTTTTGCACTTTTGTAAGTTTGCAAGTCGCGCAGGGGGGGGGGGGGGGTTATTGCTTTGATTTGATTTTCTTGCTTGTTATTTCCCAGTAGATACTGTTACCGAATCAGATGATTTACTCTTCCCGCTTAGGGAAATTGCTGTGCACTTTCATTTTATTTTAGCATTCACAGACCGATAAAGTGCGGACAATACCGTTCATTTTCCTTTTGGAAGATGCGCCTGTACATTTCCTCGAGTTACCATCATGACAACTTTGAACTGACAAGCAGCCCCCCCCCCCCCGGCGGCGCCGTATACCCTACAATACACTTACCCCTTTGAACGGCTTTTCCGTTGATTGAGGCCTCTTCACTAAATATGAACGTATCTTGATTTTTAATAGAGACGTTAAACACATATTCGCCACCTGTCACCAAATTATTAACTTCAATGCAATATTTAGAGTCCCACAATTTGCATTTGGTTAAATTTTGTAGATCAGATAAGCATCCCGATAAAAACAATGGATGACACCATCGAACCTGGACAATTTTCGGCAATCCTTTACAATAAGGTGGCAACTCGAAACGAATCGAAGCCGATCTCTCATTGATACTATACAGTTCCAAATTATTCACTTTTGGGGCAACTGTAAATAAGCTATAATGACGATATGCTACATGATATATTAGAACCTTACCTCCTGCCTTTGTTGTAAAGTTGTAAATCGTTGCGATGTAGGAGGTGTTGAACTGAAAAGCTTTAAAGTTTCTCGCAGTATCAATTTCGACGGTATAGTTTGTGAATGGTTGCAGATTATCAAATTTGTATTTAGTACGTGTGTCAGTTTCAAGATAAAGTATACTGCTGTTACTGTTATTTTGATTTGTCACATGAACTTGGTACACAATTGGTCCGTATTTTACAGTACATTTCGGTTCGTTCCATTCAATTATATTTGCAGTGTCAGTAATGGTCATTTTTATATCTTTTGGTATTTCCTCTTTTGTTGGTACTTCTACAATCACACGTTGTTAGTGGACCATTGCTGCACCGATTAGCTACGTACCTGTCGGAATCGTGTGCATTTGGCAAAATCTCTTACTGTCGTCGATTATGTTCCAAAAGTGAATATTGTACAGGGTATAAGGCACAAGAGTTGGTATATCTATGTGATTACCTTTTCCAATTAGATAACCTTGAGATTTTACTCTCTGTATATTCTGCTCTTTGTTAGAAGCATCAGTATTGTGGCAAATATCGTTTCCCTATATACAAGAAATGACTTGAACACACCGAATAAGAGGTTTACAAACTTTAGTTTCATGTGTGCGACTTGTCACTGCCTGTCTTATTTAAGGATGGATCCATTATACTTACTTCGTATTGGATAATCGAGTATTGTCGATGGGTAGTATCCTCGGAGGGAGAATTCAAATACATGCGTATTGAAGTTGCGGTAGAAGAGTTACAAACTACGTCAGCTGTAAAAAAATACAAAACATGACAGAAACAGAAATTTTATAAAGCGTTATTTGGATGAGAATGGAAACTAGATTCAAGGGCAAGATTCTAGGTGACATCATAATAGATTTGGTCTAATATGGTCAGCAAATTTGCAAGAGGTAATAAGGATATGAAATGTTTTTTATGTAACAAGCCTGGTCATATAAATAAAAATTATTCGTTGTTGAAACAAGAAGAAGGTAATCTAATTCTTTTGCAAGAAGGAGGGTCATGTTATGCAAAACTGTTTCTTTCGAAAGCGAAAGGATGGTCATAAAAGGAATGCTGATCAGGGTTCGTCTAATGAAACGCAGGCTTTAAACGTATCTGCCCACTACACAGTACCGTAATATGACCGTACTATGAACGTATGACGCACGGGAAATATACTATACGGACTACTATGCCCACTAGAACGTATCATACCCGTGTATCATCCGCTTGTCCTATCGGCATGGTTCCCGTTGTCTCGGTTCTAGTAGTAGTAGATCACCAGTGTTTGCGGGTGGAACAGACGCGTCAGGAAGAGCGAGTGAATTAATACTGTTGTTGCGATACGATGGCTATTAGAAAATTGTCCGTAAGGGAATTGGAAATCATAGCCATCATACGCGGTTATAACCCGTATGCTCACCGTTTCTGCGCCTGCGCGCATCGGTTCGACACCATCGCGTGCCTTGCACGGAGCGTATCGGCACCTCTTTTGTTTCATCATGGCACACTTAGATTTGGAAAATAAGGTTTTTTTACAAATTGGCGTTTCGACTGGTTTTTCTCTGAAATTTTCTTATGGAATGCGTGGTTTTCTTTGTATCAGTAGAAAATTTGTAGTTTTGGCTACCCAGGTATAATTTGTTTAGGGGAGTGCCATTTGAATTTTTTGAAAAATATGACTTTTGGCGAAGATCAATCAAAAATTAAATTTTTTTATACAAGTAAGTACCTAAAAAAAATTATGTGACTATGAAAGAGGTCTTAACCTGTACCTCAATTCAAAAATTAGCCGCCTGCACGATTTAGTTTCTCTAAAAAAAAATTCGAACAACTGTCAAATTTTGACGAAGAAATGTTATAACAGCGAAGTCGTTAAAGTCAGGGGTATAATATGTTATAAAAAAAAATAAGTATTTTTCAAGTACATTCCAAATCAGTAATAAAATATGGGGCGTTCCATTAAAAAAAAATGCAAGTTTGATACGCCACTGGGATACAGCACGCCCCTGGTGATCAAAAATATTTTAGAAATATGGCGACGGTAATTTTGCTGTAAGACTTTTTCGGTATCTTTTATGGTAAAGGAATTATGATCCGAGATTTTCATGTACATAATTAATTAACGTATTTTGCATCTCCGTTGGTAGATGTATTGTGGCGCCAAAACATTACCGACCGAAAGATCCAATACCCTATTACATGCAGTTAAACTTTAAGAGAATCTCTTTGCTTCCCTTTCTAAAACTCCCAAATTTCACTTATTTACTTACTCAGTGGACTAGAAACGCGGGGAACGGGCCTCCACTTTGGATTTTTTAAAATTTCGCAGGTAATATGAGACGCATCAAAATCGTTAAACGCCATATCATTCAGTATTAACTTGCTGATTCTTATTTCTGAAAAATACTAGTCTAGGTAGATATATCAATGCAATTTTAAAATTAGGAGTTTTACCATATTCCGAACATACTCTCACATCGTCTATCGCCCAAAATCCATTTTGATGGTCTGCCTTGTCTACGTAATATGTTTCCGTATAGATTTGTAAGGTGTCATCAAATACATTACTGCGAATTAGTTTAATCTCCTTCCACAACAGCTCGTCCGAGTCCTGCAGGTGTAAATGTTAAAAAATTAGAAAAGATACTTCTAAATTTACGTTGTCTCCAACAATTTCCCCCAGTGTTTCATTTTTTCCGTTTTGCACCGTGAAGAATCGCAAAGTACAGTATTTACAGATTGATACATACAAGGCAACACACAGCTGACTTCCATAGGGATGCAATTCGGGGCCAAATCGTGCTATATTTGGTTTAGTTGTAAAAAGATACTCGTCTAAAATGAGACTATTATAGTAGTAGTTAATATCGTAGGGAACTCTTACTTTTATGAAGTTTCCAAAGGGCGTTTTGATTTTTACTTCTAACTATAACGTTTATCGGGTTAAGAGCGCTTTTATCACTGTAATCCAGTATTGTTACATTGGTCACACATTCCCTTAATTTAAATGTTCCATTAGCATTAAGAGACAAGGAAAATGTTTTCCACAGTTCTTCTGATAGTACGCCGATTTCATGCTGAAAAGTAGAAAGATTAAAAACCATAACTATTTGTAAGGGTAGAAATACCTTGTATTTGGCAAGTTTGGGATCATCTACCGAGAATTTAGTTGGTATTCCGTTTTTATACTTGCGTAGAAATGATTGCTTATTGTCCGGTCCTCCAATACTCACATAATAACATGGGAAACGTTCGGGATGCCAGCCCTCACAAACAAGAACTTCCACATTTTTAGCCGCTCTTACAGAGATACCAATCTCAAAGACACTCGGAATGTCTACCCTAACACTAAAGTCTTTGGTTAAATTCGACGTTAAGTAAGTAGGGAAATCTGAAAGTTACGGTTTTCTTGCTGCAAGTTTCTTTCAGGTGGTATACTTACTTTCCCACCGTGTATCTACAATGGGTTTGAAGCTATGCACATCAAATTCCGCAGTTTTCCATTCACCCGTTTCCCATTTTTTACTACACGATTTCGATTTCGCAAAATTACAATTGTAGGCATTGTTGGTGGCGGGAAGATAATTGGAAACTGAAAAGTTACAATAACGGTAAGTATATACAATTTCAATGGTTAGGACGGACGTGGTATTTTGTCTAGTCAGCGGATAATTTGTCAATTATTTCAAAGCATTTGTTTTGGTAGCAAGACCCATTTGTCCATTGTAAATCTTTATATCGATGACGAAGAATTTGGATAGCACTGCTAAAAAAATGGTAGCATCTTTAATTCTGTATATTAAACAAGAGCGTGACCATGGAGGCCCCTTGTTACTTTTGCAGGCAGTAAGAGAGGTAGCAACAGCATAATTATTACATTAGACATTCTACTAAGTAATTATCGTAGAGAGTGGCGCCGGCTTTCAGTACCTGTTCGTATCTCCACGGTCGGTACCATTACAGCGGCAGTGAAGAACGAAGCGTTGAAATCGCCTTCAAAGAATCGTCCTCGCCTTAAGCGTGTGATTTGAACGTCGATGGTATTAGAAACACAATTTATGACATCTGTGCATGAACAGCTTCGTGAAAAAGTGATTTTTCATGGTTCATTGCGAACAGTGCTAAAGGAAATTGGACACGAACGCGAGGAGACTAGAATCGGCACCTTGCGAACCATCGTCAGAGCACCATGGTTTGTGCGGAACGAGACGCTAAGGGCAGGCCTAGCCATCTCCACCCTGAAAGACCACGTGCGACAGTTGGCGGAAAAAAACATACAGCGACATGGACAACTCCGACGCAAACCACATCAAAGCAGTCGCCCCCATAGGTGGTACTCGACAAACAATCAAAAAGCGGCCCAGGAGTATCCTGAACTGACGGAGATAAAGTGAAGCCCAAATCAGGTACAACAGCCAAAGCCAACTCATGCTGTGCACTAGGACAAGATTCAACCGCACTTCACACGGCTGGATGGCTTCGAGTGCTTTTAATGATGGGTTTGCAAGTTCTTTCTTACCCCATGTTAAACGCCTGAAGGAAGAAGGGTACCAATTGGAGATAACGTGGCCTCCTTCTTTAATGAAAATGTAATTCGTTTGTGCGAGGAGAATAACATAGCATTTGTATGCGTTATTCCACATTCCACCAATATACATATACTGTAGCAAAACACAGAATACTGCGTTTATTATTTAGTTTACTGGTCGCATTTTACAGTATTCAGTAAACCCGTAAGATGGCTTCACCACCTAAATACAAACATTTAAATTATGATTAGTCAAATATTTCCGTGCCCTGTTACTTATCGGGGTCAAGACTTTCCAAAAATTGTTCCTATCGACGAGAAGGCTATTTTATATCGATATCCTGAACCCTGAACTTCGGGCCGTCCTTAATTTAGTAATTAAGCTAAAGCTAGAAGTTGGTCATTATATTGCAGGTGAGTAATTAGTTATAAAACCTAGCAACTAATTGTTACCACCTAAGTTCAATTGTATAATTATATTGTAGCTAAAATCACACATGGAATTAAAACTTGCACTACGAGTAGATTTGTGGGTACTATTCGGACAAACAAGCCCGCTACGAGCAGTAACCCTCACGAGGAAACCTACCCTGAGTGGGATCCGGTAGCATTTAAACATTCCGGCATAGGATTCAGCACTCGCGCAAATTTGATTGGTCGATTTGAATTTGCTGTTGTAAATTAACACGGAGTGCCGAAATCAGTACCAGAATGTTCGATAGTGCTGAAACACAGATCGGAATGTTGTCATGCATTTGGCATATTATGTAAGCATAATAATAAGTAATAAGTTACGTGTCAACAATGCAGTCTTCAGACGTCTTCTGAGTTGTTGATCTATTAAGTTACCATTCCTTCTCTCTGTACCTTAATTGATTTTATTCCTAAATGCCTGGAAGAATATTACTAGGGAAGAATATGAAACTGTGTTCACTCAAGAAATATACGACTTCAAGATTGCTATTATTAAACTTATTAAAAAGCGCATCTGGAATTAAAATGAAGATATTCAATGTGTCAGTCCTAGTCAAAAAGTCAAAAAATGTACAAAGTCCTACAGAGCTGAATTTCAATATGTCGATGGCAATATTGGATTTTGTAATTGTCCCTGTAGGATTTTTCATCGGTTTTGTAAACATTTTGATCTTCCAGTAAGTTTAAATTCTATGACCAAGTTAGCGTTTGGGGAAAATGTTCAACCTTTTACGACATTTTACGAACCATTGGTTGTTTCAAACACCGAATATACAACAGCAGCAATCCTGAAGTCAAGTCGAATACAAATAACGTCTCTGTCCATGTTATGATTTAACCTTAGAGTTGTTACGCCACTGATCTTAAGTAGGAATTGTGGAAATGAAGCGACATCTATCTTCTTCCATCGACCTCGATACGAGTAAGATGTACTGTTTTATAATAAGCGTTGTTTATTCAATATAAGCTATTTTATGTCTTACTAACCTATCATAGCACATTTTATATCTGTGATACGCGGGCATAAAGTACCACTTTATGTCCTAGGGCATTAAGTATCACCATAGTAACTCATTTATACTTAATGACAAAACAAACAAATATTTGCAGGTCATTGAAAATTAGAAACGTCAATTATTAATTGTCAATATCTACTAAATCACAAGATTGGCCTTATTTCGTATAGTTTCTGGAACTTCTTCCTCATTCACGATGAATTGAATTATTTAAAATTACGTTTGACGTTTGGATGGTTTCAATCACATTAACAAATTCGAACCACGCATACTCGATCAAACATAATGAATTATTTTGTAAACGAATTTTGACGAAGAAAACTATTTGTAAGACATAAAATTGTGTATGTACCACGGGCATAAGCTGATGTTTATACTCTCGGGCCGTAGGCCCTCGAGCTTTTTAACTCGTCGCCCTCGAGAATATAAACATCACTATTAACTATTAAACATTGTCTACGATTATTTTATTGTGTGTTTACAAATACAACAGTCCATAATAATAGGTATTTCAATATCGCTAAACAATATCTCTGTTGGTTGCAAACAAGATGGTTTATCTGAAGTAACTCCACTAAGATAATTTTTTAATGTAAAATTAAACGTACTCGTAGGTATGTTAAGGATGGGAATGCTGTTTTTCATCAACATTCCGACCTGTTTCAGCCCTGCGCGACATTCTGGTACTGATTTCGACACTCCGCGTTAATTGACCAAAGCAAATTCAAATTGACCAATCAAAATAGCGCAAGTGCTGAAATCCCATACCGGAATGTTTAAATGCGATCCGGTACAATGCCAACCTCTAGATGTAGGATTCTTTAAATCACTGAAAGTGGCATGGTTTAAAAGTAATCGTCAAGCAGGTATTCCCAAAGATGAAAGATATATTTCCGGGGTAGTACTTTCAATCAGTTATCAGTATAATTAGGTAAGTTTAATTTATTTGTAACCTCTTGAAATTATGTTACCTAGTTTAAGTGTAATGTAATTATTGTAATTGATATCGCCACACCGTTGCTATTCTGGCAGGCTAACGTTTTACAAAACTCATGTGACAATTTAATCCACACATCTGCCAGTTTTGACTTTAAATCTGGAACTGTTCTTTGAGGATTATTTAGTAACTGCTGCCTCACCTTATGCCAAAGGACAAAGCTGTGATCTCATTCTCAGAGAGCCATTTTTGAGTTGATTTTGCTGTATGACAAGAGGCTCCGTCTTGCTAGAAAACAAAATCTTCTTCGCCATACAGCTTATCGATATTCGGAAGACGCCTATTCTTTAATATTTTTAGCGTAACACAACGAAGTTGAGATAAAGCTTATGTGCTCGTGTTTCCGTCCGTCCGTCCGTCCGTCCGTTCCATCGAGATCTCGGCCCCTGGGCCACCTAGAGACTTCGCGTTTTCGCTAATTGATAGCTGTTATGGTCTATATTTGCCCATTTCGATCAGTTTCATTTAACTCCATATTTTGCGCAGACTGCGCAATGCCAACTTTCACATTTATAGGGATATTTCTCTGAAATTTTAACCACAGACCCTTCTAGTAAAGATAAACATTTCGCGCATAGTAAAAATTATGTGGGCATGCGCAGTGACTGCGCAATGCCAACTTTCTTATTTATGGAAATATTGCTTTGAAATTTTAACCTCAGACGCTTCTAGTAAAGGCAAACATTTCGCGCATAGTAAAAATAATGTGTGGGCATGCGCAGTGATGTGTGGGCATACTGCGCAATGCCAAATTTCTTATTTATGGAGATATTTCTTTGAAATTTTAACCACAGACGCTTCTAGTAAAGGTAAACATTTCGCATATGGTAAAAATTATGTGTGGGCATGCGCAGTGACTGCGCAATGCCAACTTTCTCATTTATAGAGATATTTCTTTGAAATTTGAACCACAGATGCTTCTAGTAAAGGCAAACATTTCGCACATAGTAAAAATTATGTGGAGGCATGCGCAGTGACTGCGCAATGGCAACTTTCGCATTTATGTAGATATTTCTTTGCAATTTTAATCACAGATTCTCCTAGTAAAGGCAAACATTTCACACACAGTAAAAATTATGTGTTGGCATTGCGCAGTGCATGCGCCGTAACTGCACAATTGCCAACTTTCTTATGTATGGGGATATTTCTTTGGAATTTGAACCACAGCTGCTTCTAGTAAAGGCAAACATTTCGCACATGGTAAAAATTATGTGTGGGCATGCGCAGTGACTGCGCAATGCCAACTTTCTTATTTATGGAGATATTTCTTTGAAACTTTATTTTACTTATTTAACTCCTCTCTTTCTCTGGACGTGGACGTGCTTCAATATGCAGATTCGACATTTTGTGTGCTTTCGATGGCAACGCATCGTTTCAATACTTTGTGTTACGCGGCAATACCCACGAGTGGGTTTTGGAACATTTTTTATCTATCTCTGCGTTTACAGTACCGTCGATAACTTCAAAGTGCCTCAAACCTTTTGCTGACATACATCCCCATATCATAACTCCTTTTGGGAATTTCACGATACGTTTAATGCGATCTGGATGAAAAGCTGCATATAATTTTTGACCAG